AAATTAGTTTTACATATTTCCGCTGTTACATCATACAGCTATCTATGAAGCATCATCCCAATTCTCTGTTAATTCCCACTGCACCTGAAGAAGGATGGTTTGGCCAGCCGAAATATAGTGCTCCGTCTTAAAAATTTACTTGTCTACGTTGTATCGGTCTTGCCTCGATATTTATATTTCATATTCGTTATTTTGGGCCGATCAGATCATCGCTGATCCAACGTACAAGAGTACGAGTATCGTCCACGGTTGCCTGCTGACCATTTCACACTTAAAAACAGCTCTGATGAAAAGTTTGACAAGGTTTCTCTCGCGCGCACCACATTCCATATGTTGTGCGCACAAATGAAGGGCACAGGAATTTTGACTGTGATCGATATTAGCGGATTAGTGTCGAATTAGCGGCTGTTAGCGGATCTACATGACGTCAAATTAATTAATTAATTACGAACCCTTGAGTCCATGAGTTTATACAAACGATGTACTTTATCCAGCTTTTCGACTTAACCCTGTTTGAACGTTTGACACGCCTTTTGTAAATGAAAACCGAACAAACCATGACTTTCAAATCTCCTTACCATCTACCAAACAATTCTTATGATCTTAGTTTTCGAAAATTTGGCATTGGACTGATCTGAACCTATAATCTCCTCTAACTGATATTTGTCTTCATTCTCATCACTCGTCTGCTTGATGCTGTATTAAAATTGTAAGGAGAAATTCAGTTTTGGTCAATTATGTAATTTTTAAGGGTCAACCCAGGATTCGACATTTTCCCCTCCTGGAACTTTGCAAAATATTACATGTAAAAAAAAATCTAAAAATGGGCTGATGAACCAAGTTGTATTCGAGGTTCAATGCTTTACAGGGAATCTTTGGGATTAAGTTAAGACGAGCAACTGTCAGTTTCGTTTAATACGGAGAAGGCGTTCTTAGCTAAGTGTGTTTAATTTGACCCAATTAAGAACGAGGTTATTAGTTTGCTAGATACAAGGGTGTTAGGGAATCAAACTCTGAATATTGATTTCTTTCTGTTGAAGATTACAAGAAATAGGATCTTGCGTACCGGCCTTCACAGAAACATACATTATGGTGAGCAACTCAAACGTATAGGACAACTGCTTCTCTTTTGTCTCGTTCTCGGGCGCCCAACATTTTCCATTGTCTCTTTAACGTCATAATTGCTAGAGCACTGAACGTTAAGCTTTGCTTTTAAAAGAAAAGCTTTGATTAATTGCGTTCAGATTAGTGTGCTCATAATTATAAAGGCACCCAAACGCGTGTCTGGTTCAAGTTTCTGTCTAACTCTTGTAATTTCAGACGGTGGCCTTCATGGCGTGTCGCGGAAAAGTTATAACTTATGCGTCAAAACAGCTGAAGAGTTCGTAACTACGAAGATATTTTACACCAACATGCCACAAAAAATGGAAGGACGACGAAATCTCCTTCACTGAGAAGAAGTTTGATCCGAACACATCTAGATTGGTCAGTTTTAAACGGAGGCAACCCATAGTTACGTTGTTGAGTAACTGCTATTCTACAAAAACAAACTCATATATCCAAAAGTGGCTCCGAAAAGAGATCTGATAATTATTTGATCGAGCGTGAAACTCGGTCGTGGCTGTACCTTCTAACTTGCCTCTCGGGAGCAACACTGACCGGAAAATAGACTGCGATATTTACTTCAGCGTGATCTAGCAGAACAAGACGTGCTAAACTGATGCAATGACAAGAGACAAAACAGTTATTATATCTTTCACCTCATTTAAAGAGTGTCTTGTAGAGTTAAGGGGTTACGCAAGAATCTCGTTAACAGCAGATTAATAGCAATTGTATACGTCGAGAAACTTTGGCAACAATCACGTTTCTTAGAAATAGTTTGCTATATAATTTTAAGTGTTCCTCCCAGTGAAAAAAACAACCGACGACCTGAGGCTAGCATTGGGTACTTGACCAAACTCACAGCTCAGCCATATTGTTGAGTGGTAGCACAGTCTGTTTTAATTAACAATCGTCTACCTCTGATTAAGCAAGCAACGTTCGCTATTCTACTATTTCCAAGGGCGTTATCGAAGTTGGACGGAACCAGTGATCACAGATGTAATTAAGCCTCACGCATAAAAGAAGTCGGCCTTATTGTAAGTTATGGCGTTGATACAGTTGATATAGTCATCGTTATAGCGTACTAGTAGTTGGTCACCCGCTAACTTTCGTCTGCATAACACTGTCAAGCGGCCAAGGAGTTTTTTCTCGGACATTCCTTTTACTGCAGCTACGCAAACCACCCGGTAAGGAAAAGGGGTGCTTGTCAATCAGCAATTCGTAGCCGGTTAGAAAAGTGAAGAATGGATTGCTCTTTTAGCGGGAGAGCTCTTCAAAATCTTGTCTGAGCTTTTACAAGAGATGTCAGAGCTTAAGGAAGAAGAAATAGACCCCTGTCATTCAGACGCAAAACTGACAGACAGCAACCAGTCATCATTACGGACAGTTTTAGTCCGCTCAGTTCGCATCGAGAAGCCCGCAGCTAAAAAGAGTAAACGAGTGCGGTTCAACAGCTTGGTGGAAGTAAAATTTATTCCTAAATGCAAGAGTGAAAAAAAGAAAAAGAGAAAATCTCAAGTAGATTATAAAGAAAAGACGGAGCCGTTGGAAGTTACCACAAAGAAAACATACCATAGAATCCAGGCTCGTAGAAAAGATATTAATGTTAAGGGTGAATTAAACCTTCACGCGCAAAGGGTTCCCACGACAACGGAAACTTCTCATGAGACTGAAGTAGGGGATTCGTGCACTGGAAAAGGTCCTGAGAGTTGCGAGATCGGATTAAATCTGGACAAGAACCGAAGTACTGCGAAGGCGAAGAGTATGTTAAACCGGCAAACCGTACACAAGAAGACAGGGACTGATAAAGACTCAACTCGGCTGAATGGATGTGCTCTTAAATCGCGAGTGACAGTTCGTAAGAGTTACGTAACGAATAAAGTAACCCTCGTCGGAGATTATAACGGGAAAGCCTTACGATTATGTCCATCGACTTTTACAGTCGCACCTGACCTTCAAGTTAGCGAGTTTTCGGCATTGAACACCAAGAGAAAGAATGTCCAAGAATTTGGTTACGATAGAGCGCTTTGGCGGTTGGAAAAACAAGCTGCAAAGTTTTGCGAGGAAGCTAAAGTACTGATTGCTAAGGTGACAGAAAATACCGCTGACATGCAATCACATTTGAAAGTCCAGCCAGATACTACCCACCTAGCTGGAAATTACAGACAAATCTTTCCAACGGAACACATCAAGGAGGGTTTTACAAAATCAGAAAATGTCAAAGATCCTTCTTCGTTCGGAAAAACCGCCAGTCGAGATGTATTTAGTACAACCAGGTTTCCGCACATTACGCACAAGAAACAGCAGAGCATTGTGGGGCCGCGCCAGAAGTCGTCTTCTGAACTCTACTTGCCGCAGCTCCTGTTTTATGACGGGATTAAAACGAGGAGTCCAGTTGGTGCAACGGATGATTCCAGGGGAACTGGCACTGTTAATAAGGAAGCACCTGGTAAATTTGAGCTAATACCTGGCCCGGAAGAGGCCAGAAACGGGAAAATTGTGATCAGCTATTCGTATGGAGCCACAAAAAAGCTAGGATGTTGATAAGAAGAAATCGACTTATGTGTTGCCAACTCAGCGGTCAATCATCGAGCATGCGCAATGGGATTGATTCTGGCCAGCCTAGCACCATTTACCGCGAAAAATTTCAAAGAAAACATAACAAGTAACCGCTAGCTCGCAAAATAAGCAAGAAAAGAAAATTGAAACGTTCAAAAGTAGGGAAAATGAAAACTCAGACTTGAGACAAGGCTTATACAAGTACCGGTATCCTGTTGATTTACCATTCTGCTTTGAGCTTCATGAAAAAGTTACGTTTTTAAAACACCGAGAGTTACGGACTTGTGTTATTGTTTATAGCTCGTGTGACAGCACGCCAGCTAGTCATTACAAAATTCGCACATGCGCAAACTTTTGACCGCTGTGTTAGTGTTACCTGATATTGGAACAACGCATGCGCATAAAAAAGTTAGGACTGGAAATTACGAGTCAAACTGTTTTTTATTTTTTTTCTTAATTAAGCGTCGGTCGGCTTTACTGGTCGAAAATGAAAAAAAAAAAATTCATGATCGAGTTTATTTTTTAAAAAACTTTGACTTAAGTGTTGATAAGCGAACCGATCCAACAACTTACTTTGATAAGTGCACGATGTTAGAGTTGTCGGGGTTACAAAGAGAAAATTAACTATTCCCTTCGAAGACTTTACATCTAGTTTGTGATAACAGTAGCTAGTATGTTTTCCAAGGTGACTCAGTTTCGTTGAACAATTTTATAGTTGCTGTTATATATTTTTATCAAGAAGGAAATATGAGTGTCATAAGAGAAAGCAAATGAGTGAAAAAAAAAAAAGCTGAAGTATTTTGAGCGTTCTGTTTTTCAGCTTTTAACCTCAACGCGGACCCTTTTAGTAATCCCTCATCTGTGATAATGTTTATATTTTTGCTATATTGTACACGAGTTACGTAGTGTTTTTCCGGCATAAGAAAGTGGCAACATCAAGAGTGTCGGTGCTGTAATGTAGGCTTCAATATCGCCGGAGCTGGAAAAAAAAAAACAGAACAAAACAAAAAAAGCAAAAAAAAAGAAAAACGCCAAGTGGAAGATAAACATGAAGGTGAAGAGTGAAGATAGATCTGCAATCTTCTCTTAACAACAATCGAACATATTGACTGCAGATCTAGAGATTTGAAATAGCGTCAGCCGTCTCGCTCTTTGCTTGCTCTTGTAGAGAAGCTCCTTGTCGGGAAAACAACAAACACGAGTTCCACCGATTTATTATATTTGTCGTCCGCTTTAATCACAATGTTATAAAGCACTTCATTTTTCGCTGGTAAGACTTTCGTCGCGCAAGATGCTAACCAGAAGAACAGCAATTTCACTAGCGAAAGGTTGCAAGAGAAGAAAAACATTTTGGATATAGAAGAAAATATCTCACAAAACACAGACCGTTTTCATTTCATATGCTTTTACCAATAGCAATGGTTGGTACAAACTCCAAACCTGCCGCTACCTCTAATATATGTTCACGTGATGCAAACGTGCAGTTATGGGGGGGAGGGGGGGAGAGACAGCACTGCTAGTGCGTGTGTCAAACAAACCGTGCGATTGAAACAGGTTACGGAGGAAGTGTATTCGTGACGGGGAATGATCACGAAAGCTGTTAATTTGTATGACCATTCAAGTGAGCTATCGGGGAGCCGGAGAGCCTCAGCGAGAAGAGACTGAAATTTTTACATGTCGTTGAACATTTCCGGCGCTAGAACAAAATAACTTCGGCAGAGATGCAGGAGAACTGACGAAGTTCATGTCCATGTTGATATCTCTTCTGTCTCTCCTTGATTTCACTCACTTGAGGTGCTTTAAATACCATTGCGATGAGCCTAATAAATGACATCTCCTTTTCAAACTCCGCAATCAGATTAAAAGTCAAAGCGCACGCCCAGAAACGTGCTATGTCTCCATCACTTGGTTGCAGTTGCCTGATACAATCGCGTGATATTTGTCATGGCCGTGTAAATAGCGTTTTTCGTAGCAACAATTCTTCAAATTTTTCATTTAATTTCCAATTAAGAAATAATTAAATCAATTAAAAGGAGCGTAATATATAACAAGTAGCGACCACCTCGAAGCTTAGGAAATTGAATAAGATAAAACAAATGCCAAACGGCATTTTCTTCCCTTTAAAATTTTAAGTCCTCCGAGACTATCAAGCTTCTATCGATTGCTAAGAACCTCCTACCCCACCCTGATGACAATTATTTTTTTCTGGCTAATGTGTTTTAGGTTGGAGCAGACTGCTCCAACCTAAAAGACGTCTTTGATGATTTGAATGCTGGAGCAAAGACGAAAGCCTTCAGATACGGTTGAACAACATGACCGTAGATGCCTAAGATTCTTTTACTTCATGATAGTTTTGATACACTGTCAAACAGACAAGTAATCAGAAATGAGGAAGCCATCAATTAGAGGATGGTGCTTTTTTATGTGTCATTAAATTCTGGGGACCAGCGAACTGAAAAATTTGTAATCATCACGGAAAGGGAAACTGGAAGACACGGTAGCTTAGCGGTTCGAAACATAGCTTGACATGGATCATTGTGTTGCGTTGTTAGTGAAGACACTTCACTCTGATAGACACTCCTACTTCGGAGTATTAAGGTCTATGGCCCTGGTAACTAAACTATCAGGCGCGCCCGACGAATTACTGGGGGAGGGGGGTCAACCTGGGGGGTAGCCACTCCCCCTCTTGGAGGGGAAGTGGCGATACTTTCAGTCACTTTATACTTCTCAGATCGGGACAAGAGTCGGCGCCTTGTGGACCACTAAGATCGAGTGCAGATTTATCTTTTCATCTTTCATTTTAGAAATTAGCTTTACGGAACTAGGAGTTTAAGGTTAAACGCCTTTACCGCTCTTCCCTTCAGAGAAAAATTTTGCTTCTGTTCTTAAGAGCTCGGACCTAAGAGTCTTGAAGCGCAGTTCGAGGCTGCATTGAGTTTGCGTGAGTTGTGAAGCTTTTAGAAGCTATTGAGTACATAAGCTGTAGTGTAATTGAAAATTGAAGTCAATTAGCCTCCAAACCGCTAATGTTTGAGAAAAACTGTAAGATATTCCAACCCGGACGCTTGCGTTACCAACAGAGCGCTCACTCTACTGATCAGAGTGTGTCGTCAGTGAGGTCAGAGGTTGCTTATCTTTTTCATCTCCAATCCTCGACACAGTTTGCCCACCACGAAAATTTAAATTTAATTGTCATTACTTTCGATCTGCCTTATCCTTAGCCATTTTTGTTTCGTCTTGGTATATCACTGCCTCTTGCAATTTTCTTTCTCAATGAGCTAATATTTTGCGTCACTGTATCATTCCGCTCCGAAAAAATTAGAAAAGTTCCCGTGACGAACCGGACCGACATTCAAGAAAAGCATCATTGATAACCCTTACAGTGTGCCTGAATATACGCTGGATGCCATTCAAGGTACGTGCGTGATCCAAAATAGCTAATGACATCTGCCACTCAGAATTCGAAAAATGCACTTGACGGGTTTACCCAAGGCAGCACTTACACTCGTCATGTTTACGACTCGCTCTAAGGCCCTAAAAGGAATTGAACTCCCAATGATAGATTTAAGATTCAAATGAAGCTATATATCAAAAGACGGCCGTCTTGGATGTTTTTGGTGCACCTATGGGTAGACAAGAAGCCAATGTCTTTCCCCATCCGTTACATCCTTTCTCTAGCTCTCTCGTTTTTTTTGTTTTTGTTTTTTTTTATCGTTTAAATGGTAATATTGTTGCATTTAAGTCAACAAAAGCGATAATGTGTCTCGCGTGCCATTTATATTGCAGTATTAATAAAACCCTCTGCTATGTTTCGCTCTGCTCGTGGTAATCAATCATTTTTATCAATTCACAACGAGTGTGTTGATACTGATATTGAACTGGCAGCACGCAATATGTGCCCGCAAGCAACTCATTTCTTCGTATGTTTTTCAGCGAAGAATGCGGGAGTGGGGGCATGACATGTTCTAGAGCCAGACAGAAAAAAAAAACGCCATAAAACACGGCGAACCTGCAGAAACACACGAGGACTTGAAAGGGTGAGTTTCTGAAAAAAAAAAACTGTGATGCTGCGTCGGTGGGGTATCACAGAATAATTTGGTTTTATCAACCGAGATGACAATGCAAATTGACCACCGTAAAGAGTTTTTTAGAATTGATGTTTCGAACGTTAGCCCTTCGTTCGTCAACCCTTTTGTCATCTCAGTTAATGAAACCAATTTTGCAAAGAATATAAACTGCACTTCGATCGCTAAGTTCTGCCAAAAAAACGCTATGGTAATGTACGCCGCTATCTCCACGATAATATACCCAGGAGCTCTTTTCAATGCCCGACGGTGATTTTATCGCAGAAAACATTTCATTTCACTTTCTCTTATCAGAGTTTTAATCAGTTTTGCAGATCATTAGTGACTTAGAACGAAAACTGAAATTCACCCATGCTGTAGGTCTCCATCAATATTTTTTTTTTGTCTACGTCAATGATTTTGTTTGTCTCGTTTGGTACGCGCTGATAGTACAGTTCCCCACCTAAATCTTTTTTTCTAGAGACTGCCAAAGCGACCAAAACATACTGTTAATTCGAACGCCCTCTTAAAATTTTGCCTTCGGGATATGAAGTAATACATAAGCGAAATGCCAAAGTCACGCGAAGTGAAAGAAGAACACTCCTGGTAAACGAAGAAAAGTTATTTCGGTTGTACTTTTTCTTTGCCTTTTCACGTCTGGCACAAGTTAACCTGTATGTTCAATTTCCTACAGAACAGATTCTTTCTGTTTAATTCAGGCACGTGCTTAAGAAAGAAATTGTTCATTTCACCTGGACACGTGTTCGTGTATAAATATACGATTTCTTTTTTCTTCTAAAACAATCGCTTATTTGCAGGGCGTTTCATACGCACTCTTTTGGCAGTTGTTCGGCGCTAGTACAATACTACACGAGGCTTGTTATACTGGGTATTTGTTCTCTACCAATACCTGTCTCGGTTCCAGACTTTGTTTCAAGAGAAACCTGCCAACGCGTGAAAGAAAGATTGTTACTCCAGCTTTATTAGAGAGAGAAAAAAACTACCAAGAAATCACATCGGGAAGCAGTCGAAGTGATTTGCTCTGTGTTTTGAATATTTAATGGAAACCCTTTTCCGAAGCGCAATTAAAGGTATGGTGATTTTGGTGGTCTAACACTATAAGAAGTGGCAAACGAAAGAATTCTCTACATGATTGTGACATTTGAAATTATTTCAATCGCAGATTATGACCTTGAGTTATTGAGCGCTGGGCATCGCCACTTAATGGAGAACAACTGGTTATGTTATAGTTTGTTTTTTGTCAGGAAAACTTGCTCAGACAGGGCCCCCCTTCTGATCTCTGTAGAGTCTGAGGTCACAGAAGGAAAAAAAATAATCTCGAAAGTCTGCACGCAATGAATCGAGACGAAAATGGGTTTCAGTTTCTTCTAGGTGTCGAGAAGCTGGTAGCACCCTTCGGAGTGTCCATTAGTTACCAATCAAAATCGTGTTTAAAGTATAGGGTTTCGTTTGATTTGACTTGGAAGAGCGGAAAACCCAAAAAGGAACATACAATATTTCCTTTCGGGTTTCCTGAAAGGAAGTATTTAAGATGTCATCGGTACCTTCTGCTTGTTGAAACCTGCATGCGGCGTTCCGCAATCGCGACAGTTCGTGTCGTGTGCACCTTGCTGAGCACGAATTTGTACAAAGCGCATGTTGGCAAATTAAGTTAATGGCAACTGTGTTCTTCAAACATATTTGAACAGTTCGTAGTGGGAGCTGATTGCAGTCAGCAGCAATATTTATATTGTTTCTTGCGGCGAGTGGAAAAAGGTGAGACAATATTTGTACAAACGTTCAGTCCATTTAGCGACGCCAATTTGCTAATTTCAAGGCAATTAGTTTTTGGCCATTTTCATGCATGGAAACTTTCGAATCGAGATTGACTGAAAATTCTGTTGATTAACAAATGAAGCCTATACAAGGTCCGTTTTCTGTGGGCTGAAACACCTTTCCTTTTTGAAGACGTCGGAAATTTTACACCGTAAATTCAAAACTTACGCCGACTCGAACCTTATTCATTTTATAAATTGAATCGGACCCACTGTAACTGAGATTGGGCACGAAACTAATTTTTTTATTTTTCAATAATGCTCTTTTCTTTCTTTATCCAAAATGAAAACAAACTTAGAACAATACCAATTAAATTAGAAATGCAACACGATATCATATCGCCACTGACGCAAGGGTTTCAAAATAAGATCTAAGATCGGTCGAGATGTGTTTTGACCGAGAATTGGATGTTTTTATTTCTCCCGAAACCGTTTCATTCAAAATTTTTACCACGATTCCCAAGATCAGTATCAAAAGTTCAAATTATTCTTTTAAGGAGGCGAAGTGTTGATCAAAATTCGCCACCCGCCGGTTTTTAAATACTGTCAACAACACACATTACCTAAACAAAAGCGGTCCAACACGGCCGGAGGGTAAATTTCCACCAATAACAAAACGAGTTACGTGGACTCTAAGGAACATCTCGCGAGCGTTCGATAGCACTCGGTTAACACATGTAAATTTAAATCACTTCTGCGGTTTACGTCGATCTGCTTCAGTTATTCTTGCGGAAAAAGGCTTTGTTCTTTGAGTACATCAACATATAATACGCTTCTCTCGAAACTCGTAGGATAATCTGCGGCAACTTAGCGAATTTTCAGGCTACAATTGTCGACGACAGGTAAGCCTGTAATGTTTAGTACTACAAATGTCGTTTTATTGCACCATCGAAAACCATTTTGTCTCGAGAATTGAGACCGCGCCGTTAACTGATTTTTTTTCTGAGGATTTTAATACGCCTTTGTTTTGCTCTGAAAGGAAAGCTAACTGAGGCATATTATGCGATAATTCGAGTTTAGAAAAGTGAGATTAACTATTTCCTAATCGATAAACGCTCTCGCCCTCTCTCTACAGAATCGCTGCTTGAATGAATGGTTCAAGACTCCTATAAACTTTCAAGTTCCTTATTATGAGTGCAGTGTTTCATCAAGCGGTGCTCGAAGGCGACACGACCAAAGTAAAGTTTATATTGAAATATGGGCAAGGAATACGGGTGAATCAACCAAATAAATATGGAATAACCGCACTGCAACAAGCTTGTAAGGATGGTAATTTAGCTCTGGCAAACTTTCTACTGGAGCGAGGAGCAGATTTGAGTTTTGTGGATTCAGAGGGTCGCACGGCTCTCCATCTCGCCTCTGAACGAGGTCATTTGGATATTGTTAGCTTGTTGGTGAATTCAGCTTGTGCTGATGTGAATGCAAGAAATGCGAACGGGCAAAAAGCGGTCGATGTCGCGAAAAACGATCAAGTGCGTGCCCTACTTTCGCAAGCAATACTCTCCGAAAGTTTCAAGCAGAAATGTTCAGTCACGTATGGCCTAGACGAAGGCGCGGGTTTCAACTTTAAAAATGTACCAGGTTGGAGGTATTCTATCTCGAGCACGTCTACAGACTCAGGAGTGTCCGAGGATTCTGGTTACAGCCACGATAGTGGTTACGATTCCAGATACTCGGGTAGACATTACCCCGCTGTAAGCTGTAATTACAATTGTAGTACTACCGAACAAACTGATCATTACGCCGCTAACGAATGTTCACCGCGTTATTACCGTGACCAGAGATTTGATAAGGAAGAGTTGATTTACGCGCGGCGAATCGAGGAACCCGCTAATCACGCTATGCTGACAAAAAGTCACTCATTTAACGGCGGCCGACACGAGTATGTTGTGAAACCAGGTAACGCGAAAAGAACGGAAGGGAATCAAAGGATGGGGTTTAGAGGCGATGAATCCCCGGCGCAGTATCGAAGGCAACAGAAACTTCACAAAGACCCGACTAGGCGAAAAACGGTTACTTTTGGCGAAAATGAATCGTACACCATCGCCCCTCGTGAAGAACAACGACATCTGAAAAGTTGTTCTCTCACACGGCCGCCGATGTCTAGTATCCATCGACAACCCATACCCGAATCTTGGCGGCACGCCACAACCACTGATACGAGAGCTTTCAATACTCGCTCGACGTATCGAGAAGGCAGGGCGATTAACGACATGGAAAAACATTTATCCGAGGACAAGACTGAAAGTCCTCGCAAAGAAGGGAAATTCAAAAAGCACATTCTACCTAACTTCTTAGAAAAATACGTTCATTAGCTGTCTAATAGTGTTGTTCTAAGTGCATAAATTATGAAGGAAGTGTCCTCGTGTTTTAACCATGATATTTTGCTCGGGAAATGATTTTTTTTTCCAAAGGAAAAAAAAAACCTTGTAGAAAGTTGATCGCGAAGATATATGGTATATTGTACGATAATCTGAAAAAATAACCATATATATTGTTACATTTTCCAACGTGATCATAACTCTTATCATTGGATTTTGATATTTCAAATTTCGTAGTTTGGAATTTTTAATACTCGATGATACGTATCTATTTATGTGAGTGATGTAAACATTATGTATCCAGCTGCAATTTTATTTAATAACTCCCAGGGGATTTAGCGTTGGTTTATAATCGACTTTTAGTTCTTTAGATTGTTTTTTCTCTTTCCCATTTTTGGGCTATTTATGAAATTTATCTCGTATTTCTCATTCGTATTTTGTTGTATATTCTCGAGGTGTTAAACGTGACTTTTAACTTCACTTAAATGACTTAAATTCTACTCTAGTTTCAAGTTGTATTTTTATTTTAGAATCAATGGTGTTTCGACATGTTTCTGTCGAAAAAATAGATGTATAAATGTGGTAATCAAGATTTTGCATTTCTCATCGATGAATAATTAATTTTGTTGTGTATTACGGTACTCTACTGTTTTGGCTACCAAGCCACAACTAAAACTGTTAGTCGATTTGGATCCGCTCCACACTTGTGGTTTGATTTCTATTTTTCTTTTTCTTTTTTTTTCGCGTAAAGGCCCTCATTTTTAAAACTAATTAGCACAAGGACACTTTGATCAGAGTAAAATTTTGTTATTCAATCAAGATTATGGAGGGAATTTCCTTCCCTTCGTAAAATACTCAACTCTACCCGCTGTTACCATATCATTTTGTGGCAATCTTAAGAGCTACAGCTTCGCTAGGAATTAAAAATTGGCATTTGTTTTCCTGCAACTATGCTGATTTTTAGCCGGTAAACCGACTCTTTGCGTTATTTTCTGAAACCAAGTTGAAGAACCTTAGGATTGTTCATTTCCTTTTAAATTTAAGGTAGTTTTTCTCTTTTTGAGAAGCTTAAAGTTGAAAGGAATGACCGCGTACATGCATGGCCAAATTTTCTCACGAGTCCAAAGTTTCAAGCACTGTTTACCTCGTTTCGTTTCCGGTGTTTCATGCAAATAATTTTTGAGGACAAAAGGAACTCTCTTTGATTAATCGCGTAAGCAAACACCTCTTTCCGCCTTAAATTTACCGACAGAAAACAAATGAACTAAACAAACTGACGCGGTCCGCCTTTCTTAATCAAAACAGCCAGCGCTGATAAGCTCGAGTTTAGGTTTACCTTAAAAAGTATTCTGGTGGTAAAAGCGTTTTATCATATGATCCAATCATGTGAAACAACTCAGAGTGGACGAAAATGTTTTTCCCAGCGGGGGGGGGAGTGGAAAGCGCGGTGTGGCTTTCTAGGTAAATGAAACTTCTCGCATCAGCCGGCAAACACGATCTGACTTAAGACCGCATGCTAGTCGGGTAAAGTTTGTTGTCTTCAACTGATAAAACAACAAATTGACGGGTTATTTGTCGGTAAAATGAAGAAAGTTCAGTAGCCAATTGCTAATCATTTCAGGACTTGAACTACAGAGCTAAGGATAGTTACAAGGTATCTTATTTATAAGCACTTCCCAAGGTAATTTTCTATTAAGTCGAAACTCTAGTTTTCAATCAATTAGTGGGCGGTTTTGTCTTTTAGCTCACCCACTCTCTTCCCCCACCCCCCTGAGTTGTCTTTTGATCTTTGCGCGTAAATATAGATCCCTGACTACATCAAAAGGGAAAGCCATTTTAGTGAACATAGAAATTATGAAACACCCGGCACTGATTGGCTGCGCTCATGTTCGTGACATTGAGCTGTGCCACCCGTGAGTTCCACAGCTTGTGATGTTCATCTTGGTCACGATCTTGACGTTATTCATAGCTCTTGCTTCAAAAATAACTCGGTTTACGTTTACAGAACCGCTGGAATTCCGGCTTGCTGATTTTTTTAAACATATATAATGCAATTATGTAGCGCATTCTCCATTTCAATGGGGTCTAATACGCTTTGCAACAGTTTGCAGGGGACTGTATCGATCAGTTAACACTATTTAGAGAAAATTTTGAAAGTGCTGTATCCCCAATTTAGGACTTTTGAAAACAACACCAGATGGCCATCACACCGTAAACTACGTTCTCTACTCTTCGCTTCCCCGGGCAGAAGAGAGAAGATGCAAGAGACGCAACCTACGGATTATCGTTCTCATACGAGAAGACTAGAATGTCTAACCATTTACAGATGTCATAGCAAGGGCAGCGCATTCTCTTCTCTTTAGACTTGTTGGTCAAAGGTCTGGGGCTTGTACCCACGGCATCCCGCATAGCAGTCCAACGCTCCACAACCTGGGCTAGCCAGACTGCTGTTAGGTTCGTGCTGAATATAATCGTCTACGGGTCGGGGAAAAAAATTGAATCAGGGCGAGAGTTTTTGACGAAGAAAAGGCTGGGTGATCTCATGCGCCCATCGCCTCTGTTACTCGCCCCAGACCACCCTCTTATATACGATACATTTTGGGATTGTTTCGATTATGGCTGAACCAATCAGATTTTACTTAGGAAAGAAAGGAAAGGAAAGAAAGGAAAAAAAAACCCTACGCATGTGAGAGAATTATAAACTCCCGTTTCTACTCTTTCCTAACATTCATCAATCAAGGCCTTGAATGCGATCTATCTTTACATGAATAACATGCCCCCTCTTCGAAGTCTGTCGCGCGAGTCTCGCGTGAGCATACGCCTCACTTTGCACCCCGCAGAGTTTGTTTCCAATGAGTTTTTTTAACTCGCGCGACGGCCCTCGCCGAAAAAGAAGGAATTCTCGTAATCAAGACCATAGATAGAACTGCATCTATCCGTTCATATGGCTTGAGTCCCTGAGCAGTGGTTTTTAAGGATGATCAGTTCAATTATTGAACTTTCTCCATCACTGAAAAACTAATCGTCAATCCTATTGTAATCGTTATCTTGGTGAACAACACTTTTGGTCCCAAACATACTGTTATGGGACTGTTATGCGCAGTAACCATAACTGTCTTACCTGTGCAACAAAACAGGCTGTTTTTGTAAATGTCATTCATCGATTGTCTATCACAGTATCGTATAGTTCTAAAAAAAAAAAAAACCGTTGAAAGAAAAATTGTCAAGTGAGCCTGCATGTGAGGAAGGAATCTTATCACCGACCCAATTAGAAAATAAAATAAATAATTAATTACAACGATCAAGAAAGATCAGTTGATGGAAACCAACAAATTGGACGGTTAATCTTTCTTCATTACCCATAATATTCACAGCATCTCGTGCCGTTATAGAATATATCAGTGCTTTCAAAAATGTTGTCACATTCAGGGTGATAATTTAATTTTGCATTCAAGCTTCCCTCTTTCCGAACAACCATCATTTCACGTGCGCAGTAATCATAACTGATGTTTTATTAATATTGTAGAAACCACAAGAAAATAGGTTGCTATAGTACTGAGAAATAGCGAATGAATGACTTCGCTAAGAGACTCTTACTGAAAGAATAGACATAGTCGCCAGTTGCACCAAACATCCAGATAATACCTTTACGCAACGAGGTCGTTTGGGAGTTCCCATTTTTTATGAATACATAAACAAAGCAGAAAATCGTTATACACACTTGATCTGAAAGGAGATAACATGGCTTTGAGGACATTTCGAGATGTCTATTCGGAGGACAACAATTTTCTGATCGGAGAAGACTTCATCACTGATCGTCTTCGTCGAGAGGCGAGACAGCTTCATCTCAGCAAATTTAAAAGAACCCGCCGTGAGGCACATTTTGCTAGGTACAGAAACTCTTTTCTGAAGTGAGACTTGGAGCGGACGAATGACCGAATTGAGCAAGAGAGGCAATTGAGGTGTACCGAGATGGAGAGAGAGCGAGCAGTTTTTGTGAAGCAAGCAGAGAGAAGGAGAAACACAGGCCCACGAAAACTAAGCGGTAACAGTTCAAAGAGAGCCTCTGCTACGATTGAAAAACATGCAAGTATGGATAAACTTGATAAAGAGGATGAAGCTGAGGGTCTTGTAAATCACAGCCAAAGCAGTCAAGGTTTTAGACCGAAGATAACGAGTCACAGTGCGTCACGCGCGTCAAGTGTAGCAGGAAAACGCGATTTGAGAGAAACGATTGAGCAAACTAAAGCAACAAAGGACAGTCTTGAAGAAAGATCTGCGATGAGCGCCGAGTATGAAAAAGATAGTTTGAATCATGGAAGCAGCATTGAGGAGACGAACACAGATCAAATCAATAATCCGCCAAACAAGGCTGAATCTGAGAAAGAGGAAGAATCGGAAAAGGAGAATCCACCTGGGTCAAAATCAGGATCGGAACTAAACTTAGCATTCACGTCAACGCGAAGCCATACAGCGAAAACACCGAATGCAAGAGCCTCGCTTTTGAATCGAAGGAAGTCTATCAGTGCAAAGCTTCCACCGGAAGTGACCGTGAATAAAATAAAAACCAAATCTGCGCGCGAAAGATGGGTCTGGGGAGAGTTTGACAAAATTATGAAGGGCTTCGCAGATTTTCTACTGATCGAACACAAATCAGTGCGGGTCAACCTGAAACAAGAAGCCGCTGTACAGAACGATGTACGGAACAAGCCAGCACAAAAAATATCTCTTAATTCCATGCAGACTCTCAGCCCTCTATACTTTCGCTACGGAGTATCTGATCAAATAGCTTTTCGCTTTTAGCACGGTGGTATAAGGTTTAAAATTTTTCCGACGGTGTCGCATTTTGGGCTGGTTTCTTTAGATGTTAGGTGGTGCACCCCAGCCGCTGACTTGAAATTTCCAATCAGGAAAAGGCAGCAGGAATACCACTCCCATTTAAAATTGTTCATCGATTTCTCCATCGACAATAAGACGGACTCAGCACTGGGCAGTCATCAACAACGACTCCAGACCCTTTCTATCAGCGCTGCCTGACGCATGTTTCTCCGCCCATCCGGATGATTTACCGCGGACCTTGGGCCTTATACTTCTCAGTCAGTGCTAGAGCCCTTGCGCTTGCCAGACCTTTCGCTGGCTTGCGTCTCAGAAGGCGTCATACCTTTCTGCAGGCGAAGGAACGATCGTGCGGATGCGCTAAATTAACAATAGCCTCCTTTAATTTCTGGTCCTTGAAAAAAACCTGATATAGCCAGTAGAGGCGCTATTGAGCTAGAAAAGCAATTGAATTGCGCAGGAATGGAAGGCAGGAAGCGAGCATTTTTTGGACGTGTGGAGACAGGCGTGCGGCGAACGCGAAAGGGGAATCACGCGCGAGAAAAGGGCGCGAAAAAGAACGACTTTCCTATTCTCGTGCACGAATAGCCATTGGTATTTGGCAAGCTCCTTTTGGCTTACGAGAAAATTTATTTCGGAAAAGCAGGCCGATACCGTAGATAGGTATTCGAGACTCGTGTGGATCTGAACAGAATCGGAACACAGTCTCTCTGTATAACTCACAAGTACAGAAAGGTCGATTCTTTAATTTAACAATTCATTATTGTACCATTTGCAGTTAATTCTTTCTCTTTAAATTCTATTTATTTTGTCTTTCTTTTTACAACGATCGACAAAAAAATTAGCCTCGCCTTTGCCACTCAAATTCTTCCTCATCGGTCCTTGTCAGCTTGTACCCAGTCCACCTCTTTTGAGGGTTTTCAGTTGCCTAGCAACATATCCCAAGAATACCATTAATTAACCCAGACTAACCGCACGTGAATTTATTATAAACAGATCAGTTGCTCGGCGGTAAACAATAAAACCTCACTCCCAAATAGTAGTTAATAATTCATTCAAGCATAAAGCTTCTTTGTCTGTAGAATCCTCGAAGCTTTCAACGCGTTTAGAGAACAATTCGACGGGTTACTTTCGAGTAGGTTTCTACACAGAGCAAAGTGATAACGCGTTTTCAAGTTGCATTCGATTTCTTTGAGGTCTGACTTTGTTTACCGTTGAATGCTTAGGTATGGTATAGCATTAATTGTCAAAGTTTATATCAACAGAGGCAAACACTCAGCAGTGGTAAATACCGTGGAAACAAAATTAGTTCTGTCACAACACACACTGATACTGGAGGGACCAAGATGAATTTAGACTTAGAAGGCTCCGCAATTTCTTCGTCGCCGGTGAGAAGAAAGAACAGTTCTCGAGCAAACTCGGAGCCTTTAAGAATTCATGATACTCAATCAATGCTGGACTCATCGCACGATTCACGGAGGACTAAATCATGTCGCTCAGAGCTTGACATGACAGTGATGAACGAAAACAACAGGGAGAGGTTGATCGAGGCGTTTTTGCCTGATTTAAGAAAGAATCACACTCGTATGGGCTACATACACCGAGTGCGACCGTTTAACTTGAATCAGGAGAAGTTGAAGACAGTTCAAATCCGCGCAAAAACTGCGTCTTACAACAGGGATCTTCGCGAGCATTCAAACATGTCCTTGGGTCGCGGAAGAAAGGCGGCCAACAGCACAACTCCTCGCCCTAAATGGGCCGTCAAACCCATTCCGATGAACTCAGCCAATGACAGACTTTGCCCCGATGTTCCTCCGCAAACGCTAGCGTTTGTCAAGCGTCAGCAATGGAATTATAGCGATGGAAGATCATTTCTTGACAGACCTTTACCGAAGAGGTCACCTGACAAGTAGATACGCACTCGTATTTCCCGGAAGGGTTTTACGGAGGTGTTGAGATACGATTAGTGTGGGATCAGGAGTGGAGAAGTGATAAGACAAGAAGTAATTTTCGAAAGACACAGAGAAGGGGTGCCAAGACCTGATGGTATCAATCGCTAATCACTGCGTATTGGAGATTAAGGAATTCATTAAAAATTCACGGATTTACATGACAACCTTGTAGTGCCTTTAAAAATCGAAAACGAGCCGTGATTTCACTCCAAACTGACACAAAGAGAGCCTTTTATTGGAACAAACGTGGATTTATCAAAGCTTGACACTTCTACATTAATGTCTGAAATAAATATGTACAATTATTTCGTGATTACATTTCTCTTATTTATTTTGGCACTTAACAACGTTGCTAAGTATTAAAATACACTCATGATGATCACATGTGTTATTTTATGGCTTAGAGCTAATCCCAGAGCGCTCTTTAGTTTTCCGCTCTCGCTAAAGCTTTTTGCTCTTGTTTGGTCAAGCTTCGCTTTGTTACGACATAATTAGTACTTTTATCCCTTCGTTGCTCTAGCGCTATTAATAAAAACAAGTAAGGAATATAAGGAGGTGGAGAGCACTTGAAGTGGAAAGGCCGGGACACTCGAAAACGAACGTTCAAAAGTTTCCAAGTCCTAAAACTGAACTTCCATAAACAACTACAATGACAGAAATAATGAGACACCTGAAATTCAATTTCTAGAGTAAGATGGTTCGTCGAAAGAGGGTCATGCACAGTGTCAGATATGTGCTTGCTACGCCTGGTAATCCATTAACAGAAGCCTCGCACAAATCCTTACAGTATTTCATCGAAAACGGGCGCTTAATTCAGTTGGAAGCGAATGATTCAGACCAACACACTTCCAAGAGTGGCCACGCACGCGCGATGACTCACGCGATTCTTCCCGGCCGAGGCCCCGCGCGTCTGCTAAATGCTGACTCGATATATGACAGGTGGCTCTGATATCATTTAATTTCAGTTTTACATGCAAGGCTTAATTATCGAGCTTTCATCCCTGCTTGAGTTAGACGAGGTTAAATTGAACTGACACGTCCATTTGATTTTCTGATAGAATTTGATTACCTTATCTGGCTTTGACAGCGACTTTCGCACAGATTATCGAAACATCAGTCACCGGCCCTTGCAAACCTACACGATCTTAAAAGAGGTCAACGATTTGCTGTAGTAATTGAACAGTGGCCAAGAACGTAGTTGAGGGGAGAGAAAGGAGTTGGTGTTAGGTGAAGTCAGTAGAACGGTCCTGTACCCAGACCCTCCAAGGCCAGTTCAGTTACAGTTGAACGGTAGGATCTGGGTAGCGCTTTCCCCGCGATTTCCCTCTAGTAATAAAGTTGATATTTTGGGGCATGGCTATGTGTGAGAAACAAAAACAAATCTAGAACTTCCAACAATTAATTCTTCAGTAAGATAAGGAGATTAAAACTTTTTCCGATATCTGTTTGGACTCTATTTTCGAACAACATGCGAAACAAATTAAAAAAGAGCATGAAGACTTAAGACATCTGACTCATCACGTAATACGACGAAGAAGAGTACAAGTCGCATGCAAAATTCTATTTTTAACGGTGCATTTGAGTCCGACCCAAGAGTCATTTTAACAGGTGAAGGTTAAAATGAGTTCTGAGAGGAGGCCAAAACTATTTATGTCAAAGAAATTACATTTTAGCGCGCAAAATGCACCACGATGCCTGACAAAGTGATCAACCTGATTTCCCTATACATGAACAAATCCCTAGTATAGAAACTTTCCCTCCACCATGGAAAATGCTACGTTCGCCCCCTTTCCCCCAAGTAGATACACAGTTGTAATTTCGTCAGCTTCGATCAAAAGCTGATTACTCTTTCAAAAAAATATTGTATACGTGACTGAGGAGTCCTACGTCAACTTCTGTCTGCACCTATTTTCCGGCTTGAAGGAAAGTTTTTACGGGTCACCGCTACCCTTCACTCGCCAATCTTTACACGCTCGAAATAACTGCCAATGTCAAACTATGTCGCTGTTATCCTTTAAAATTGTTTATGATTACCGATTAAAACGATTAAAATCAATCTATCTCTTCGAATAAATAGCAGTCATTTATTTTAATAACTGATAGTTCCTTTGTTTCTTTTTTTTTTTTTTTGCATGATCTCTTTCTAAGAGACGTGACTTGAAAAATTAAAATCTACTTTTTAGACGTCAAAGGGAAGTTATTCAAATGGAACAAGCAAGTTGACCCACATCAAAACTGCCTTACGATTTCCATACTTTTAATTTGCGTTTAAACTGACAAATTAAATGTCAAGATTAATATAAATAATAATATATATAACAATATATCTTAACACAAGTTTCTTTCAAATTGGTTTGCATATGCAGCAAGGACAAAGGTAATGGTTCATAAGTTATCACTAATAATTTCAAACACCACACTTGTATCTATTTTTGTACAAAGTGCGTTTCATATATAAATTCGAACGAAACTAAATCGTTTGTTTTCTTAAGATTTTAAGCTTCTTTTAATTTTCATGTGTGCAGCAGCTGTGTGTGATCCGAATAATTTATAATTTGAAGTTCAGTCGTATTCGAGTTCCTCTTTGATGGTTTTTTAGCTGAGATAATTATTATTGTACATGTCGCGAATTCTGTCCGAAGAAGATCGTTTTGTTCTTGAATTTCTTCCGTGTCGTCTAAACGATTCTCGATGATCTTTTTTCTCGCTTAAGCACTGCTCGAGTTTCATGAACCTCGGATCCTCAAGGCATTTTTGGGTTTTTTCACGAGAAACTCTGAGCATTTCTGGCAAACTCGGCTGTTTTCGAAGAGGTGGCTTTCTCTTTGAAGATCCTAAGGGTTCCCTCGATATTCCCTCATTTCCGTGAATAGGTGGCAACTGTTGTCGATCCTTGTCGCTAGTATGCAACTCGCTATGTTTATTTCCAGATATTTTTCTCTTTGGACTTAACAACTGCTTTGCGCTGCCTCGTGACGGCCTGTTTTTCGCGGCTAAACGAACGAGAGTTATTGCCTTTTCCCAACGTCCTTTAGCCCTATCATTTCCAGCCGATTCCTCGCTTTGATTTGCGCGGCCCGCTTCTAAATTCGAAGCTACGACATTCGATCTCCCCCGCGTATCAATTGGGGGTAACTGTTCGCCATTTTGTTGAACCTGTTTGACGATTTCTTGTCCATTTCCCAGCGTGCGGGGTCGTTCTTCTGACGCCGAAACTTGCTTGGTGGCAAATTCTAGCTGTCTATAAGTCACGTATTTATCTTGCCTGAATTGGTGTTTAGATAACTCGTCCAAGCGCGTGCTGAGAGCTCGATCTTCGTAGGCATTCTCCTTTAGTATTGCATTTCCAACCTTGTTCTTCAATCTCATTTCTCCTGTCTTGCTGATGCGAATAAGCGGGTATCTTGACGAACTCACACTCATCTTGAAATACAGTCTTTAACAATCTCTTAAACAGCCTCAAATCTTTAACCACATTTTCCGTGCTTTTTCGGCCTTTCAGAACTAATATCCTGTCTGAAATGTTTTTAATTCTTGGCCTTCTTAGAGCGTTTGATGAATTGCTCGACTAGCTGTCGCGAAACTTGATCCGTTTCCTTAGGGCTCTTGAAGCAAAACCACACCGTTACATGAATTCGACCACGTCCACGATACACCACCACTTTGAAGCGTTCTTATAATTTTTGCATTTCCTCCGATGAGGTCACTTAATCAACGTTGTTTGATAAACATCTACAAAGACTAAACAAAGCTCGAATAAAACACAGCTTGAGCGATTTGTTTGATGAGAACTCGTTTTGCATAAACTTTCACATCATAATTTGAATTTCTAAAATCTTGCAATTTAGCAGGTGCCCAGTGGAATACAATGGATTAAGAATCCAACATTTTAAAGACTCTTAAGTCTGTCATTCACTGCTTTAGGAATGCTTTAACGCAAAGCGAATTGTTTAAAACACAGAGGTTTTTAGATGACTGTTACAATTCTGAAGATGAGTTCGTTCGACATAAGAGTTCGTACAGTCTGACGCACTTGTCGAATAAGAAATTGACTTCCCATGTCACTCTGATTTGTTTTTGACAGAGTGCAAATTTTTTCATTAACACATTTTGTGACGCCAAAACGAATTAATTTGTTTACAAAGGTTTAGCGAGGAGTGAACAGTCTGGATGGCCCAAATATTGCGCTTGGAATCCCAAAGACTTTGCGCATGCTATTAAAATTTTAGAAGATTCATTGGCTATAAAAAGCCCTAAAACAGAAAATTGTAAATTTGCTTGCTTGTTGAAGTTCACTGCTCGGAACTTGTGTTGCATGTGACAAACTGAAAAGACAAATTTCCAACCCTATGATTCGCGTGTGCAGTGGCATTGGGTCAAAAGCTGTATTTACAAAGGGAAGACCGTCGAACGTTGCCGAAGTTACAACAGGGACTGCAGCTTGCTATCTGCGAGCTGTGACATTTTGAAAACGGAATGCTCTGAATTGCTGCACGATGCGGCTTAAAATATTCGACTCGCAAACCTTTTATACCCCGAGGCGCGGATGTTGTAAAACCCATCGACTAAAATGCTTTGTTATTTATTAATTTGTCCTCAAAGCTTAAAAGCCGCAGCATTGTAGCAGTAAGCTAGTGTAAGACAAGGAGCAGAAAAGCGCATGAAAGTCAGTTGTTGCTTTTCTCAATTCCCGAAAAGGTGAAGATTGTGATGATAGCAACTTTTAACATCTATGATTTATTCTAATCACGAAAATAATTAATAATATGCTTTAGGCAAGATAACGTCAACATCTAGCCATTAGACAACAAGCGGTCCCTCATCGGTGAAAGATTTAAAAAAATTTGATGCATTACTTGCGCCACACTCCCAGAGTTCTGCGCAGCGCGCTAACATCAAACCATTTTCTTACTGATGTTATCTACTGGCGCGACGGACTTCGCCGAAAAGGAGCCATAGGTTAAAATCCTGATCATTCGTCAACCTTTTATACGAATTGATTTTTATGTTATTGATTTCGACAAGTACAAAAGGAAAATTTTTTCAACGTCTCCACTAAGATTTCAAGTGCGGTTAAAACGAAATCAGAAAGTTACAAATCGAAAACTTAAAAAATAAATCTAGAGATAAAAAAAGAGTGAACTTAACGAATAACACTTACAATTGTTGCCGGTTTAACTTTTTGTTGCTGCGAATGTGAACAGCGAATTGAGCACATAGTTCCAACTAGCGAAACGAACTAACTGACAAACTCATCTTTGTACTTTGAAAACAATCAATCAAGTTAACTTGAAATACTGATACAAATAAATTACACAACATTTTTGCAGTGACACATTCCACACGAGCGATAAGAAATCAAAATAACATTTTTAAACGAAACAATGTACAAAGGAAAAAACAAAAGAACACGAGCTGAAAGCGTTAACTACTGGCGTTTGGACCTTCAGAACAGACCGATCAAGGACCGACCAACTTGTTCGTGGATGACTTGATTGAGAGAGAGAAAAATTAAACACGCTCACCCAAAAGTAATTAAAGAGAGCGCCTTGGAGACAGGTTGAATAGTATTTTAAGGGACAACATCTAAGCATTATCTTCGTCATAATAAGCTGTAAGGCTGAATAATTTGCATTAGTATATACTAAAACAGTGGATAGCGTTGAAGGCGCGCTCTGATTGGGTAGTCAAACTCCGAATATCCTTTGCTATTTACCTCCAAGCAACTCGGGAAAAAATGGCGCCCCGGTTTGCATCAGTGACAAGCGAAGAAATCACTCAAATTAACGACGGTGGTGTATATTATCTCACTGTTTTAGTATATAATAAAACAACTATTTACCTCAGTGTCGGTGGTTAGCGGTGGATATTTACCTAGCCGCTTCGCGGCTCGATAAATATCTACCACTAACCACCTCCACTTCCGTGAATAGTTGTTAATTAATTTCGCGTGTGAGTTAGGACGACATTTACTCTTTTGTCGTAGAGTGTCCATTCTGAAATACGAAAAAAATAAATCAAAACAAAACAAAAACAAAGAAACAAGAAAGAGAAAAGAGCTAAACGCAGATTTTTTCCAATCTTTCTATGATCTCTGACGGTGATATTTTTACCGCCAGGTAAAATTTGCGTTGGAAACTGAAAAAACCATGGGAACGCATTTTTTGTTGAGAATAAAGAGCGATTAAAACATATAAAATAGAACAAAAAAACAAAGACGAAAACGCCAAAAACGAGTACGAGTACCGACGATGTTCAAGATCATGAGACGAAATCGGATCTGATTTCCTGTCATCCTTCTAATTTTCTCCATTCCTTTTATTCGTTTAAGTCAGAGGCCTCTGACTCTTAAATAGATAGCCTTTACGTAACCCAAAGGGACCCTAATCGCGCCCTGCAAACGAAATAGCACAAATTTTTGCATGAGAAGTCTTGGATTAACCCACCTCACAAATCTCTCTCAAAGTCGGGGAGTTTAAGCATTCACAGTCATCAGCACAAGTGACCTGCGAAATACGGAAAATTATACTGATAAACAAATTGAAAGTAATTAATTTGGATGTGACGATTTCAATTATTATATTACCTTAGCATAACTTAGCAGCTGATAAAATGTTCAGAGGTCCTTAAAAGCAACAAGATTGAATTGGAGACTAATTCCGAGTCCCTCTGAGGCTATACAAAACATACTCTGCTGTTCTTTCATTGCCACAAAGAGCGCGCTTTGATTTAATTTCCTGGAGGCGAACCATATGGACTCAACCCAAACTCCAGACCATTATTTTCTCTTGATGCCGTTCTACGCTCTTTTGGAAGTTGCAGAGACCATAAAAATCTGTGTTTACGTCCGCCGTGCATCTCTACCTTTCTATGAGAATAGCTTATTCTTATAGAACGCAAACGACAAAGACCGAAAAATCCGTCAGCCACCCGACAGTACTTCTTCATCACTGTGTGCCGTAGACCAAATTTACCACAAAAACAAAAGCCATCGCCGTTCGTAAACAAAGTGTTTTACATATATTTCTTTATAGAAGCTGTTAATAAAAGTACAGTGTTTACAAACACAAAGTAATAAACTGTACCGTATTTACATATGAAATCCATTTCATTATGAACTGGCAAATAACTAATCAAATTGTGGACTTTTGATGCCAACTATCCAATAACAGGACAAAGGAAAATCCTGCTATGTAAGCCTTAGAACAAAAACATAGAAGCGCCGTTTGAAAGTTTTTTTTCCGTGTTTATTTTAGCATTGATGGCTTTTTATCTTCCTGGAGACGCTTGCCATTTCATGTCTCTCAACACTGAAGTGTTAAATTCTAAGCCTGTTATACCGCGGTGAACTTGACGTCCCGACTAAGTAACAGTGATTAATTTTCAGGGTGTTATTTGCGCAAGCGTTCACAGAGGTCGACAGTAGATGGCCTGGGGGATGTCGATGAGCATGGCCGGCGGGACCATGTCGCCTTGAAGATTGAGCCAGAACAACACGGAAAACCATGGCTAAGAAGCAGAGTTCCGCCAAAAAACCTTCGAGGGAACAGAGACGGTAGGTGAATGCCAAAGCCGAGAGAAGCAGACAGTTTTTACCTTCGGGTCTAAGTGTTCGTTAGTGTGCCTAACGAGTCAATTCCTCTTCATTAAGGGATAAAGTTTGTAAAATACGTCGTTACAAGTGTTTTCGGAAGGTTAAAAGAGTGGATTTCCCATGTGGTGGTTTTTTGTGAGGGTGGAGAAGTGTAAACACAAAGACCAAGGCTCTACGGTCACGGAATCGAAGGAGTAATCTTCTGCACAGAGGTCCGCAAAACAGCGATTAAAATACCACGGATTATCGAGGATCCAAACACAAATCGGGTTATTTACACGTCTTATTTAATTACTAAAAGTCATGGACTTTGAAGGCGCAAGAAGAAACGCAGACGAGAGACTTAATCAGGAGCTCATTAGGATCCGCAACCTTCCCAAGCGAAGCAAAATCAAAATAGCGAACAAATATGGCTTGACACATGCGAGTCACACAAATGCAGGTCTACTAAAATCGCTCGAGATCGACCTGAATGTCATATCAAGAGAGCAGCGAAGAGTTGCTAATGAATGCAATAAAAGACAGAGAGAATTCACGGAAGTTCAGAAGAAATCTTTGTCCAAATTTCTTACTCCTCTTGTACAGGAAGAGGGTCAAGATACTTCAACAGTTCAAGGAAATAATCAAAGACAGCGAAAAACCACAGATGTTATTGATCGGACACCCATGTGGTTGAAAGGTCGAAAAGAGTCTATGTGTGAACTGAAAAGAGAAATGCTTCTGGATTTGACAGCACGAAGCAAAGATAAGACATATAAGATTATTTCGAAGAACAACAAAAAGACTTCAATCGGAGCAGTGTTGCCTCCGATCCGCGATATTGAGGTCGAGTTGGATAGGGATAGGGACGCTTGGATTTCACGTTTGAACCGTCAACGGAAAAATGCTTTCACGGGAAGTTGCTTTCCTTTCCTGCTAGCGGAAAACCGGGAATATCACAGAGAGGAAGTGAAGCATGCAAGAAAACCGCCTTATCAGGATCAACAGGAGGCGTGTTTGCCGTCAAACCACACGGAGAATGATAATGACGGTTTCCGAAATAGAACGTTTAGAGGAACGGTCTACAAAAAGATTCTTAAGATTCCCGATCCTGCTAAGATTCCTCATTTAGATCCTAGAGACCCTAAACTTTACCATGTTGTCATGAAAGCGCGGAAAAGAAAGGCATCTCTGAAATTGGAACAAGCTGATAGTTTTGTAGCTCGCAAAAACACCGTGTTCACGAAACACTGGAAATAACGATGACGATATCGACTTTAACAGCCAAAAATCGTTTTAATTGAGTCAAACCAATATTAACAAGATATATCTTTTCCATTTTGCGTCCATTTTGTGTTACGTACGGCTGTAAAATCAATTATTCAAGGATTTAGCCACTGTGTTTGTTTTATAGGAGGAAGTCTTTCACGGTTTGTTTGGACAGTCTGAAAGGGCGCCAAAGAAGTGAAAGGAAATGCCTTTTTCGCATTGCGAATGCATCATGTTCATTTTTTATTATTTTTTTCAATGAATTACTAATGATTTTTCTCGAAGTTGTCAGATTCAACGAGGAAGAAAAGGTGGTGATACTGAAAAATTCAAATAAAATGAAAAGGTTTTTAATCTTAAAAAACGGCGAACGGTGAATGTATCGAATGCAAAATTTGATTGCTGTAACATATTTCTTCTAAGATACGGAAATTCGATCAGGAAACTATGCGGCCACTAATTTATTTATGGTGGAACCAACCCAAAGGCTTGACTGTTATTATTTGTTGGAAAAACACTGTTTTTTTTTTTTTTTAATCAGTAGTTTAGCTTTCGCAATAATTTATTGGCTTCCATCATATCTCAACACCTTGACGCTTGTTTTAGGAAAAAATCCTAAGTCAAAGGCTTTGTACTTTTGTTAGGGTCGCAACGCGTATTAGTAAATAACTCGCGCCATTTTGCTCGAGCGGTTGATATAAGAACGAAGTAAACACGTTAAATGATAAGATAGCCTCAGAGACATGAATTAGCCTCCATGTCATCTTCCGGCCTCATTTTTTCAACATGTAGAAAGCTGAGACGTTGGATCAAAAGGTTAGCATTTAAAGCTAACACTTTCTCGTCAGCTATATCTCATGATATCTTGTAAGAAAGACTTCAAAGGGCACTTCCCAAGACAGCCAACTTACAGCACACAGCTCTATCGTACGGCTGCATCGTCCGGCGATTTATCTTGCGCTTCAGTTGAGGTCAAGAGAATGTCAAGACATCTCAACTGTTGAGGTACATGATGAAACAACTTCTCTGATTTTCAGTTGGTTAGTCTTTCAACAAAGTTTTTCCACATTGTGATCCAAGAAGCAATGGAGCATTTTAAAACGTGGGAGGTTTGACCGTACACCAAGGGAGCCTTTAAGCGCATGCGTTAACTTAAATTTCTCGGAATGGTCTTCGCATGTACCGTCGGTATAGGGTTGGGAAAATCTTTTCGCAGTCTTAACAGTGTCCAGTGATGCTGTGGTCGATTTTTAACAATCAAAAGAGGGTGAAAAATATTTTCATTTTATAATTTAGGCAAGCGAGATCCTAATGAACTGAAACCATTTATTCCTTTAAAATTAGCCCCCATGCGTGACCAAGACAGATTAGAGGGAAACATCCATAAATGGTATTATTACTTGATCCAATGCCAAATTCTCCGAATTTGCATCATAAGAACTGTACGCAGATAGCAAGGGGAAGTACTAGAAAGATCGTGGGAGTGAAAGGGTTAAGAAAAGAACGTGACACTACAGTAGTTTTTTACTGAACCAGTCTTGCGCTGCGAGTTTCCAGACCAAAACGTTTATGAAAGTGTCTTTGTTCAATGGAGTGAGGGGAGGGGGGTTGGAACTCTGTTTTGCATGCGGGGGGGTTCTATAATTCCCCGCCCTCCTGCCACTTACACGTAGAGCCTTTGTCAGGATATTCAGCGAATCTCCTCGGGATACAACTTGATCGTTTCTTTGTAAATGGAATATGTTTATTGTGCAAAGCTGAACCTTGATGATAGATTGGTCATGCGAACTGGTCAATAAAATAAATGAAATCACCGTTACATCATTTTAATGATCGGTTTAATTTGACCACAGAAATTATAATGAATGAAAAGCATTAGCTCCGAGTGGAAATATTTTAAAAACTGACACAGATTTGATTTCAGTTGGGGTTCAAGGAAAGATTTACTTATTACTGTAATATTGATAACAAGCTGTAACAATACAGTGCCGGAGTCACCACCAAGCTTCCCGTGATAAACTTTCCGCTGCATACGTTGTTTCACTCATCTTGCTATTCGACGGGCTTGCATCGTTGTTTATCTAGCGTTTAACTTGGCAGGTTTTGAGATATCTATCACTGTAGGAACTGCAAAGCATTTCTCTTCCAGTTTTCCATCGTGAAACAAATGCTTGTGATCACGCTCCAATTGTCTGGACCAAGACAAGCTCTTTCTTTCTTCCTGTGTTCGAAACCCTTTATAAGTCGCCATATTGAATACGGGAGTGATATGCGCATCCTTGTTGACTAGGAGATAAGGCAGATGTAAACTTGGCGGCATAGTTGGTCTCTCTACAGAGGAAATCCTTTTAGTCAACCTCATCGAGCTATAGTCACCGTGAAATGTGTTTGTTTGGACTGCATCAACAGAATTCAGTCTTGTCAAGGGTAAAACCTTGCGCGATTGTAATCTCTCTGGATTATAAAACCCGCTGGTGGATGTTCTCTTTACTTCTACCGGCAATGTGTCAGTGTTTTTAACCCTGTCTGTAAAACAAAGTCAATACGGTATTCTCTCGTCGAATTCTCGTTTACCACCATCCATTTGTTGCTTATGGTCAAACTTCAAACCCGAATCCATGATTACATGACAACACTTTTCATTCGCATTCGTGCCGCTGCTCTACTAAAAGACAGTGGTGTTTTTTTATCGATCGTTCATTAATGCAATCCCTTAGTCAAAAGTCAATGACATTTGTTTTGTTTTTGATACAATATTTCCTTAGAACGTCAGAGCATTTCATTGGCCGAGAAAGGATTGTTGACAATCAGGCTATATCTAAGTACTAATTGGTTTTCAGGAGTAATATCATAACGATTTCAATTGTGCCTAGAAAGTTTTCGCACCTTATAAACACGAACCTTTGCTGCCTACCATAAATTCAATAATTTGCCTAGTCGCTGAATGCCTCTTGTTACTTTCTGATTGGTGTGGTTCAAGTGCGTGGAGAGTCACTGAACTCAACTGAAAAACCGTGAGCAGAAAATAACTGGATTTCCGTGTTAAGTAACAATGAAGCATGAACTTGCAAGTTACGAGAGATATCGTTTACAATTAATTTAAAAGAGAAGTATATATACCAAAAAGTTAATGGTAGCAGCGGAGGAATGATTAAAGCACAAGGCTTTTCAAATTTTAGATAATCGATCTTACAATAAGCCAGACTTTGGTCGACTTTTTCCGTGCCATGTTTATGAATTCCTCAATAGTTAACCTAAGTACTTTGTAATGCTTTTCACTGATAAGCGTAAAAGAAAATAAAAGAATTATTGACGCTATTGATAAGAAAAGAAATCCAGCCTTATGAAATACAATAACCGTCATTAGAGCCTTTATTTGATGTATACAACTGACAAACCAAGCATAGTGAATATTTGACAAACATTCGGCTAAGTATCTCAGTGAGGTAAACTGTTCACACGAATCAAGTTATTTGACAAAGCTGTAAAGGTCTCTACGTTTTGCATAACAAAAATCTATGATTAAAGGAACTCAAGTGCTGTTTATTGCCTTGAAGTTCTCTTGTCTAAGCAGCTCCTAAGTATTTGTTCCGTCGATCAATCACGTTTTCGGTACGTTAAACCCATTGGGAATGTAATGGATAAATACTTATTTCTTTTTTTGTATTAGTACTGGGTAAACATATTCACAGAGCTTTAAAATCGACCGATTCAGAGTTAAGCAGTGGGACTCACTTCACATTCACTTTTGAAGCCTAAGGCCTGTTTCACCCTTTGGTGGTAAATGTTGTGCAAATAAATGGCGACAAACTGACTCTCTGATGAGCTACAAAATATCAGTTTTTTTAAGAGAAACTGTCAGTAAATACATCATTTAGAATTGAACCTGACGAGAACCTAAAACGCTTTAATACTGCAGAGACACTTAGAGACAGGGATTGAGACCTACCACTCTATGCTGTAACCGATCTCTAAACGAAGTTCAGCTGAAAGAATCGGCCCTCTGACATAATTTGAAATAATTTTTTGAATATTAGAGCCGCGCTCCACACTTTAACTGTCACTTTGATAACTTATTCTGATTCTTTTACCACCCTGCCATATTTAGTCGAGCTACTAAGCTTGAAACAATTTGTGATTCGAAGTTGAGAAAGAAGATCAAAGTCTCAGATACGTGATGTACTTTAAACTGCATTTAATGCAAAACAAATTGCTAATACAAATAAATTACAGATTTAAGCCAGTTAATCGGTGCAATTTAAAAGAAATCAATGGCATTTCTCTCTGTTTCTGTGCATTATTCCCTGCTGCCGTATGATATCTCACTCTTCAGGCAAACAGCGTTGATTTCAGTAGGAGTTTTTCAGAGTTTTACGACCTGGAACACAACTGCAGCGTTTTTCACTCTTGAAGAGCCCTGTTGAAATTGCCCGGACGCTCAGAATTTTCGCTTTGATTCTTCATGCAGTAGACAATCAGAACAGAGGCGAAAAGAAATTTTATCTTCATCCGGGTCTGGGGTCTCCTATGGCTTATGCCCACCAAAGATTAAAGAATCTGTCCGTCCATGCGGAGTAACAATATATAGATCTGTGTTATCACTGTCGAGCTCCGAGTTCATCTTTGCTCTTTCCATTACACAAGTCTTTGATTTACCACGTTTAGACCTGTCAACTTGGGTAGTTTTAATTTTAGCGATTGTGTATCCATCTTGTTTCTGAGCTCGCTGTTTTCATCATTTGCAAGTCTGTCTTCCTCTTCTGGCTTATCGCCCTTGAACGCTAAAGAGCAATCATGGCGATTTGGCTTACCTTTAACATCTTCAGCAGCACTCCCACTGTTCATATGTATCTCGTTCGATGTCAGTTCTCTGTTCCCGGTGTTGTACCTACCCCTGTAAGCCTCGGGGTTTTGTACGCTCGGCAATTCGTAAATCGGCGGAAAAAAAAGTCTGTCAACCGAGTTATTTCGCCGTGCTATAACTACTTCTTGGCGTTCACTAAATGGCGCAATATCTGTCCAGGTGCACATTTGTCTCTGACGATTCTTCTGAAGACGTTCCAATTTTTTGGTTCAATTTTCCCGTAAGGGATGCAATCACAAAGACGGTCGTTCCTCTTCTTCTTTCGCATAGCTTTAGAGAAATTTCAATATCCGGTTACTTATTCTCTGTTTTAAAGTTTTGGTTTCGTGATGTCTTTTCTTTGGAACAGTGCTCAGCGTTTGCCGTAGTTTAACTACAGTATAACACCTACGTTATTGAATTTTTCACTTAATGTACGTTCAGTAGACGTTTTTTAGTTCAACTCTTGTAATCAATGTCAAATACATAGCAGCGCAGTCTTTTTCGACGGATTTTTCCGCCAACGAACTGTACAAAGAAGCCTTAGTGTTCCGTTATTTAATTAACATATCAATTATTTGTACGAAAGATCTTTTGCTGTCTCGTTAACAGTTATGGATTGACGAGATTCGAATCAGGTAAATAAAGTAACTTAAACACTTCAGTTTTAGTCTTCTTCTCCAAGTTTCCATTCCAAATCTTACGATCATTTCATTGTGGATATCACTGTGCATTCGTGCAATTGATAACATCAATTTGGTGCCACATTTAAAGTGGAATAGTGGTTGTTCGCACAGTATTGTCTATGCTTTCAAGAAAAACCGCATAGAAGAGTAAACTTAAGACTGCCATTGTTCAGAGGGGGTTAGTTGAATTGCCTGCTAATCTCACGTGGGTGATGTGAGTTTACACTGTTGATTTGTTGAAAAGGTTGCTATGGAAACCGGACCTGTCTGAATTACATTAGACTTTAATCGTGCATAAAATTTTATGAGTTGAAGAGGTTACAAATAAACTTGTATTACTGAAAGGTAATAAGTAACTCGATGTAAATCATGGAAGTGGAAAATTAATCAGAAACAACGGCTAAAAACAGATTGGGCTAGTTTGAAATCACACGCCCGTGATTTTGTTAGATAACAAATAATAAATAAATTTAACATGGAGGTGATGTTTTTAAATGTTAATGGACAATTCTTCTCAACGAAAACCATAATTCTCGAGGATTTAATTTTAAAAATTTATGTCCGACATTCAGAGGGTGAAATTGTATTTCACGCTTTTAAGCAGGGTGTTCATCATAAGATAAAATTGAAGATTTTTTCTGCAAAATGAAAGATTAAAGACACATTTTCATTTATTTCGTAACCAAACAACGAAAAAGTTCTTCGTTAGAATTCACATGATAGGGAGTGCAATCAGTTTGAGGATTAGGCTCGTTTAATTTTAAATCTAAACACTTTTCTGTCGAAAATAGGGGCGAATAATAAAATTTGAAAAGAATTATGGCTAGAAATAGTATGAATTTAAAAAGAAAAGACCGCGAGGTTTACTTACAGCTGGGACATTTTCAAGAAAACAATCCTGTGTCAATTGACAAAGAAGGCGAAAACTCGTGCGCATCAAGAATAGAAACTGCGTTAATAAGCATCGATTGCTATCTTTTAAAAAGGGCTAATTTATGTTTCGTGCTTTTGAAAAATGCTTTTTACCCGTCTGAAATAGTCGGTTATCATGGAAACCTTTTCAAGCAGTGAATGGTTTATCAAATAAGTGTTCGCAATCTGACCGCAACGATAAAACTTCACACAGCTGTCAAATCTGTCGAGTTAAACTTGCGGTTTGAAACAATTTGTCATGGCCTCCGCAGAAAAAGAGAAGCCGGCGAATTTGCAGAATAAACGTAGCGACGTCCTGGAGGTTGTAAACGAAAACTTGCGTGATGAAAACCAGAACGTTCACACTTCAGGACTAACAAATTTTCCGCGATACTTGGTTGATGTTTACAACACCACTAAGAAAAATGGTTTCACAGTTGATTATCAGCCAGGTGAGGACGTCTGTGGTAATTATTCCGATGCGGAACACGATTCTAATAGCGAAAAGCAAGCCACTAAAGAGCGCTTTGTGCTAAAGAAAACCAATTCCTCCAAAGGCGGAGAATTGTGCGCTAGTTCTATGTCTGCTAACCGAACGAGTCGTTCATATTTGTACGAAAAGAACCCGTTGCAAGACCCAAGATTTACCCGCCTTATTGAGAAACTCGTGCCTCTAAGAAGAGGAATTCAGGCGGAAAGAAAGACCGCTGCAAGAAAGGAAGACTTTTCCGATGACTGCGACGATATTTGTTTTAAAGATATCTGCCTTAAAGATACTTGTCGCCTGGTGTTTAAAATAATGAGCAAGGGAAGCAGTCCTTCGATGGAATGAAAAATTAAATGGAGGTTCTTGACCGCATATTTTAATTAGGAAATAGTTTACAGCGTGTGTTTTGAGTTTGGAATGATCATTTGTAGTCTTCAATTTTAATAGAATCTTTTTTTGAACGTTGAAATTGAAAACATGTAACTAATAAGACCTTTGGTTTTCTCAAGTTGGACAAAAACGCTTGTACAAAAAATGCTAGTGAAATTGTAAATTTGAAACACCTAACCTATTTTAAATCGCGTTGATGTTTTTAGCTTTCGATTTGCGAGTCACTAATTAATTGCATCATTCATTAACCTAAATATCATCATGTTCGCCCTGAGTTCTCAATGTACTTCATTCCTGACAGTTTCAACGCCCAAGAAACAATCACAAAAAAATCATTGTTTATTAATCAGTATGGAGATCCGCCGAGATCATAGACAAAGAAAAACAAGCTTAAGTGGCAAGATTCCACTCTTTCAACCTTAAGACTAGATACATTTACGCAAAAGCTTTTTTTCTGAATTTTACGCCGAGTTACAATAAATCCAGAGAATATAAACTTGATATTCTCTTGTACTATAGTTTAAATAAACTTGTTTCTAATATCTCAACGAACTCTGTTTCTCTGTCTTGGTGGCGTTGATATTTCTCACTTCAAAAATTTATCGCCACTTTTGTGTTATTTCTTTCATCGAAAATTAATTTTCCCACCGATTTTGGTGCTTTTATTTCAATAATTGCTTAGATTACAACAGCCTTTAATTTGCTGTGTTAGCTAATTACACATCCAGGTACATAGAGGGAAAGCCTACAATAACGTGCTCCACTGACCATGAGGAACGAGTATATTGATATCGGGGAGCCCATGACAATTATCTTTTTTAATGGCAAGGAGTGATCCGTCTTTGAGGGAGAACTCTAAAAGTGTATCTATCGCCTCACGCGACTCTTACGCTTCTTTCGTGCTTAGCAGCCTCCAGCATTATCCATAACTCAATAGTGTATGCTGTGGTGTTAACCATTTGTTAAATAGTGCGGGGAAATACGTGACCATATCGCAATTGGTTTTAGGTTTGAATGATAATTGATTAAAAAAGTGGCGCGAGTTTTCTAAACCAATCACATGGCGAGGTGTAGAACCTATCGTAGATTTTACAAGGGACTATTATATATTCTCTTGATTTTATCTGATACCCACACGACTACAAAATGTGTTCGCAAAATTCGAAGGAATTGAGGAATAAAAAACAGTAAGAACAAAAAGCAAAATTCAAATACTTAAATCAAGATGTGAAATGTCTCCGAATTTGTATTTACGAGTCTGCAAATGACAAGATTATCTTAAAACGTATATGAATTTTACTTGTGTGTCATTTGATAACATTTTATTAGCAGTTGGAAACCAACCTCCATAACTCTTCTGCTCGAGTTCCCCACGCTGCCGCACTTATATACAATATTTCAGTCAGCAGTTTCATTGTTTTTTTTTTTTAATTAATAGTGGCTAACAGTCTATTGGTGTAAGTGAAAGTATTAAGTTTTGAAATCTTGGATCAAACTTTGCATCCAGAGATGACATCTGACTTTTCGTTGCAGTTGTCTTGGATATGTTCAAAATGCCCACCTAGGACGACCATTTCAAGACCAGTTTTTTCTAAATTCAAAAATTCTCAGTCTTCGCTTCCTTTCCTTTACTTCGTTAACTGGTGGAAGTTGAGAAAACGTCAGTGCGTTTTTAGCATCTTTCTTACGCTTTTATGATTCGTTTTTCATTCTTTCCAAATATTGTAAATACCGCACTTTCTCCCGGTACAATGTCCACCCATTTCGATTTCTCTCCTCTGCACATTCGTCTCCTTTACATTTTGCAAGGCTTTTTATTTTTTCTAATCTTTCCTCCTTCTCGGTTGCGCTTTCGTCAGCTAGTTCAATGACTTCTACAGCGGCACAGTTTGATGGATCACGATGTATAAATCGAAGCATTTCAACGAGAAGATCTCACGGTAAACTTTTTAAAAGTTCTTGTTTTCCTTCGCTTTGGCCAAATTGGCGAAACGTGCATCACAGGCATAGTATACTTGACAATTTTTCCATAGTTGAAGATTCTTGCACCCGGACAGGTTCAGTCTTGGCAGAATTTTTAACTCGTCACCAAGTAATTTCTTAAAAACGCAACCTTTTATTCATTTTGGGAGCGGAAACTCGATTGACGTCAATTACAGGATCAATTTCTGCTCGTTTTATTTTTTATTAATCTTTCTTTCTATAGATCGTAATCTTTTAATGTAAATACAACACGTTCAGTGACTTTTAATTAGTGAATATTGATTTTGCCTCCAGAGGTAACACGTACATTTAGGCCGTTATAACTGATAACCTCTCAGATATACACTCGATTGCAGAAACGTTGGCAACTACAAAGCATGATCCTTGAACGATGAGACCCAACTGCTTTATGGGAAATGTTATTGCCGTTACATAATCAATGCTTTACTTTTCACATTATGCTTGGAAAATACTTGTTTTGGATAGTCATTATTTTCAGGGAAGCGTTAATGGCTTCTATCACTTGCCGTGTGCAACTAATTGAGGTAATCTTGAACATTTGTACCCACAAAGCTGTTGGGTCTCATCGTTCACTGCTAACGCATTTTAGGTGTCAAGGATAATGCAATTGAGTGTATACCTCTTGTCCTCCGATCCGTACAGCGATTGCACGAAGTCAATAGGGACCTTAAGCAGTCAGGACGGCAACGCCAAGGAAGACTTCGATTAAAGAATGAGTTTCTACTCTTAGTTAGAATTTTAAAAATGGCTGCATGAGCCTACTGTCTCATACTGGACGCCACAGCTCAACTTCACCATGACGTATAAAAGCAGCGTTGAGTTCCAAATGGAAATTAAAATAATTTGCCGTCGCGGTTTCGGTTCGCAGACGACGCAAATTTTGACGATTTCGCGTTGTTGTTTTGCATATGACGGCTAAGAAATGTGCAAAGTTTCAAAATGCACGTGCTGAGCTATTGTTCTGCTAATTAGATCACATGTTTTTCCACGTCCTCGTTGCCGTCGCCGTCGTGGTTGCTTAAGGTCCCTACTGTGCTGACCAATAAGCAGATATTTGAAANTACTCTTAGTTAGAATTTTAAAAATGGCTGCATGAGCTTACTGTCTCATACTGGACGCCACAGCTCAACTTCACCATGACGTATAAAAGCAGCGTTGAGTTCCAAATGGAAATTAAAATAATTTGCCGTCGCGGTTTCGGTTCGCAGACGACGCAAATTTTGACGATTTCGCGTTGTTGTTTTGCATATGACGGCTAAGAAATGTGCAAAGTTTCAAAATGCACGTGCTGAGCTATTGTTCTGCTAATTAGATCACATGTTTTTCCACGTCCTCGTTGCCGTCGCCGTCGTGGTTGCTTAAGGTCCCTACTGTGCTGACCAATAAGCAGATATTTGAAACCATTTGCGGCATGAATTCATCAAGAAAGAGTTTTTATTTGGTAGATAGCTTCCCGAACTCAAGTGTTGCATATGAAAAAAAAAAAGAAAAAAAATGAAAAGATAGAAGAACTTTTTGGTCTGAATTTTTTTTTTTAGTTCAAATTCGATTGCAGAGGAACATGGCTTGTCTAACTTGTAATTTCAGTGGTCACATGTCTGCACATTTCAATGCTCCTCGTAAAGCTGGTTCCTAAATGCTGAGAGACTTGAAACCAAGGTTGTACGAATCGAAGGTCATCTTTGATGTTTAAAACACAAGAAACAGATAAGCAGTGCCGGAATAAATTATTCCTGACTCCAAATCTCAAGTGGACAAACTTTGCACCAAGATTTCACAGAAAAGTCAGCTATGACATGTGACTTCGTACCCAGGTTCCCTAGCTTCACAGGAATTGGTGCGGAAAAATAGGCCGTGGAAAAGGAGCCTGGGAGCAGGACTTCAGTCGAATAAAAAGGAGTACTCGTTTTTAAGTCATCCAGCGAATGAACGACTTTTGTTGCCTTCTTTACATCATGTTAATAAACACAACGACCAAGTCAAATAATGAAATTATTTCACGTTCATCATGTTTTGGACTTTTTGGTTGCATCTGCCAAACCTTAGAGACGATGTATCTTTCCTTAGATACAAAAAAGTTAATTGTTAGTGTTGCTCCAGTGAAACATTTTTCTCGAGGTACTAGGGTGTCATGGTTGCCAACCATTTCTCATGTAAAGTCTTCCCCCTTAATCTGCCCTGCACTCCACTTTGGCTTCTATTTCCTCTGCCCTCCCTTTTCTTCCTTGAATTACTTCCCACGTAATCCAGTTCCCTTTCCCTCACCGAAGGAACGAGACAAGTCAATAGACGCTGAAAGCGAGGGTCGCTGATTGGGCGTTTTACATCTTTGTTGCAACTGTATATTTGTGGAGACCGGGAATAAATCACACTATTTTTCTGTGGAAAAACCACCTCATCGGTTTTGGTCCGTTTGAGTAATCGAGCTGTCTTGCGTTGAAATATCATGGAAGTATTTCCCTCAATTTTTAACATCTTCTGATGCCCCTCGCTCGGCTGAAAGTCTCTTATGGAGATTTGGCTCGTTGAATTATGTAAATCCCATTTACGTGCGACCGTAAGACTCTTTCTAGGAACCTTACTTCTGCTCTCTTCAGATCTCGACTTTCCCCAGGAAGTTTTCTTTCTCTCTGCTCTATAATAGGCCTCTGTTTGAATCTCGAAAATTCGCTCGCGTTTCTTGCGTTTCTCTTCTTGGAAATTTCTGGTGAGATTCACAATACCATCAGCGTCATCTCCACTGTCAACCACTTCCGACAGCAAATCCTTCATGCCCGGATTTATACTTTGAAGAAACTTAAACAGAATCATTTTTTGCCTGACGAAACGCCGAAAGGCAGCCTTCCGGGCTTTGACATATTCGATTCTCTTGTCTGGCGGCCAAATCGGGGCAATATGAGGAATAAGAGGGAAAAATACATCTTCTTTTCTGTTTAGTTGCATCTCGTCTTGATTGCATAGGCGCATTTCTTAATATACTTTTCTACTTCGTGGGAGAGAGATTAATAACTCTTCACTTCGAGGCCTTTGTTCAAGATCTGTTCAGAAACAATAGGCTCATTATAAAAATAATAATTTACCAAAGATCAGAAAGATCAAAGGGAATTTACACTTTTGACAACCAGTAATGATTTTCCTAAGAGAGCAGGTTTTAGCCAGTAACGATTTAATTTAGGTTTGTAATCAGTAACCAATGTAATTAATAAAACTAACGGATAAACTGTTGTGATTGGAGGAAAACAACTTTTTGTTTATGTCAAACTTATTCGGATCAGGAAAAGCAAATAAAACTTTAATAAGATTTCCTTGATTGATGCATTATTCCAGGGCCTTTATTTACACTATCAATAATTACCTTGAACAGTTCAGAGACACAAAACTGAATAACGCGGACATACTTAAATTTTGTAGTAATAAAAAGCCTGGTATCACCCCGTATCGACAAAGGAGAGAAATTAATTTGTTTCTCGAAAGATAATTTCATAGTT